CGGCACGCACCCGCCATCAGAGCCTGCCCGTGCCCCGCAGCCCCCCCAGCACCCAGGGACCCCCCGTCCCAGCGTCCCTCACCTCCTTGGCTTCTGACATGCTGGAGATAAAGGGGGCCTACAGGAGAGCTGGGGAGGGACTTTGTACAAGGGCATGGAGTGATGGGAGGAGGGGGAATGGTGTCAAACTGGAAGAGGAGAGATTTAGATGAGATATGAAGAAGAAATTCTTGGCTGTGAGGGCGGTGATCCCCTGGGGCAGGTTGCCCCGAGAAGCTGTGGCTGCCCCATCCCTGGAGGTGTTCAAGGCCAGGTTGGACGGGGCTTGGAGCAACCTGGGCTGGGGGGAGGTGGCCCTGCCCAGGGCAGGGAGTGGCACTGGATGGTCTTCGAGTTCCCTTCCCACCTAAACCATTCTGTGATTCTACATGGAGGAGATTTGCAGCACCCACCGGGCACGGTCTCCTGGGCACTACCAAGGTCTGGCTGGCCTGGAGGTGTCCAAGCGCCCCTGGTGCAGAACGGACGGGAGCACTCATCCGGAGGGCTGGGGAGAATTACGGACTCCAAGCAGCATTAGCATTTTGGATTAAAACCTGCCAACCCACTGGCCATAGGGCCACAGAGCAATCTGCCATGGACATGGGCTGGTCATGGAGCACAGAGGGGACCCAGCCAGCTCCCTGGTGTCCCCAGGACCTTGCAGGGTGGTGTCAGTCCCATCCTCATCCCTTCCCAGTACTCACCCTTGGTGCACAGCCCTCGGTGGAAGAACTCGCAGACGGCCACCCCCGGCTCTGTGGGGGAAAGCAGGGCAGGGAGAGCTTCACCCGCCAGCCCTAGTGCTGGGACCACCGTGCCAGCGGGGGCAAGAGCACTTCGCCTCCCCCTGCCAGCAGTCCCCCGAGGGAGCAATGCCCAGAACCAGCCAAACCTCGGGCAGGAGCCCAGGGAGAAGGCAGGACAAGAAGCACCGGGGCATCGTGGTGGGTGCAGCAAGAGCCAGGAGCACCAGCAAGGAGAAAAACCCCCAACACCTCCTGTCCCCCTGTCCCCTTCCAAGGATGCTACAGGACCCTGTCCCCAACTTACTATCCATACCTGGGAAGGGCAGGGGCCAAGCTCCTCGCTGCTGCTCCACATCAGCCTCCAAGTCAAACCTGATCTTCTCCACACCGGCCACCAGCTCCTGCATCACCCCTGCTCCGGCAAGAGGCACCTCCAGCCCAGCGCAGGCAAGGAGCAGGGCTGCAAAGGGGCTCACAAAGGGGCCGGCCAAGGAAACCACTCGTCTCCCAAGGGAGCACCACTCTCTGCAGGTCACCACAGCCACCCGGGGCCCCAGCAGCACTCAAACGCCCTCCTCCTCCCTGAGCCAGAGCAAAACCAGCAGAGGCAGCAGCCCCGAGCTCTCCATGTAGAGAGAGGGAAGCTGCCCACATCTGATCTCAATTTGCAGCCGTGATTGCCTGGTGCCGCAGCCCAGCTGCGTGGAGCTCAGCCCCGGGCCCCCATCGCATCCCCCGTAATTGCCTCTCTGTACCGACATCTGCTTTTCCTCCAGCCCGGGTGCTGGGGCAGAGCAGCTGGATCCCATCTCCCCGGGGTCTGCCGGGGCTGGCCACGGGCTGGGTTAACCCCCTCACACCGGGGCTGCTGCTCAGCCTCAAACAGACAAACATGAGCGGTAACTAAACGCTCAGACAGCAAGGGACGGATCCCACGTAGGTTTTGTTGCGCTCTGAGCGCTTTGAGCACTGCTGGGTGCACAGCAGCACCGTCCCCAGCCCCGTTCTCCAGACCCTGGTGCCCAGCAGGACAGACCCACGTCCCCGGGCTTCTGGTGGGGACGGCCACATCACACCTCGCACCCTGATAAGGAGCCCCTTCTGTCCCCACCACCGGGCTGGGGACTTGCATGCACGTCAGGCTGCAGCAGCACATGCTGGGCATGACCACGGTGCCACGCTGCTCGCCGGGGCTGCCGGGTGCCCACCCAGAAAAGACGGCGCAGCCCCTGGGTTCAACCTAACGCTCCATCCCTCCTCCATCACGCGGCTCCCGCAGCCACGCGCACCCCCGACACGCGCCCGGAGCGACGTGGCCTGACACATCGGGGATGGAGACCTGCTCCCATTCTGTCACTAGCTATAAATGCACTGGACCAACGCTGCCCGCCTGCCGGAGCGCTGCCTGCGGGGGCTGCGGCCGCAGCCCTGCGCTGGGTGCGGTGCACCGACACGACACCGAGCGGTCGTGCCGGCCGCATCGCATGCACACGCCGGGTCCCACACCGAGACGCTCCCCCCGTGCTGTGCAAATGGAGGGGTTTGGAGAGACGGTGGGTGCAGCCTGGCTGACCTGCCCTCCCCTGCGGCAGGCACTGGCCGGATATTACCGGCATTGCAGCGGTGTTGGCATCACTCCCCACTAGCCCAGGAACCATTGACCTGGCTCTGTGCTTGCTCGCTCGCGGTGTGCCGGAGCCACCATCCCGTCCCGTTGAGCGGGGCCGTGTCCCATGCATGCCCTGCGAGCCAGCGCGCGCTTTCTACCCTGTCGGCTCAC